AAGTTGATAAATCTTATTGTTGAAACGTTGCGAGTCTCATTAAATATATGATTGCTTTAGAAAATGGGGGACAAATAGGGACTTGATTTCTCTTGGTTTTTTTGAAGATGGAAGGGGGAGAGACCTGCCTACCCCCAAGCCCAATTAAATTTCTACGCTAAAAAAATAAAAATAAAAATCAATCCGAGTTAAAAAAAAAATTTCGAATGAATTTTTTTTTTCTATGGAACACATAAGTGAGTTGCACATTTTTAAGAGATCTAACATATTTTGGGAAGATAAAATAACTAATTTTAATGTCTGTTAGGTAAACAACTCAGATTGAGTTTTGATGAAGGAATCCATAAATCAACGAATGAATTGGATTATGTACATTCTAATTTATGGAAACCAAAACATGGTGCTACCCTTGGATGAAATAAATACTTTTTATTAATAATAGATGAGGGTTGTGCCATTTGTCAAAATTATTTTGACAGATGTAGTGACGACAAATTATTTTGACAGATGTAGTGACAGAAGTATGGGTAGCGGCGGGTGATTAGATGAGAAGTTGGATGTGACATTATGTCAACCTTTCTGTGAACGACTTGCATGTAGTATGTCATTTCATCTGTAAAACGAGCTAAAAAGCTTTTCTATTTCTCTCCAAGTTATTGTCTCATGTCCCAAAGGCGCTGCATAGGAGTTTCTCCTTCTTTATTTGTTGCGAATCGCTTCAAGAAGGCGCTTTTAAGTTCCGGCCAACTCTAATACTCCAAACTAGATTTCGATCCCTCCACTTAGAGTCAAGTGGAAGGATAGCGAGGGAGGAGCCCTTCAGACTCATGTGCATTTTGTAGGCTATTCAAGTGCTGAGCTGAGTCACCTCTCCCATCGTACTTGAGTATTTTCGGTGGCACATTGTGGCTTGGGACAGGAACATCCCTCAATCCCTGTGAAAAAATGTAGATTATCATCATCATTGTCTAGGTTGCAAGACCTTTGTGGCTCATCCAAATCCTCGTCCTATTTTTCTTGTACTTAGGCGGGAGAATGAGACAGGCTTGCCTGATCTCACACCACTTCCTTTGGGCTCGCATTGGCATTATTGTTATTATTATTATTAGTTTTTTTTTTTACAATTCTTTGAAGTTAAAAATTATTAGATACTAATTTCTTCAGTTTTCCCGAATTTAAAATTAAAACAACCATTTGAACCCAAAGTCAAGTGATCAACGAATCTTATTTACGGCAGCAAGTGATGCAATTAATGCATAATCTTAGATTGTAGAGGGTTGTGATGATGAGGAGTGTGATTGGGTGGAG